CCAAAATGTATGCCTTCCTGAAGTTAATCCCACAGGTTAATAAATTATGGTTCTTACTCTTATTTCTTTCAATTTAAAATAAGACTATTTAATCGGGAAGGAAATACAAGACATGGTACACAAAAACTGTATAAAATGTGCTTTATGGGATAAAAACTTAAATGGGTTAACTTAAAACAAAGAATATGTAATAATAATGTAAAGCTAAAAACCAAAGCATTTTGAGCATGGTTACATAAAATAGTTTACAGTAAATCCTGAGCTTTGACCTCACAGGAAAGAAGCAATTTACTGACTTTAAAATTTAAAAGGAAACTCTAAAATTTATTGTCTCATAAGGCTAGGGATATTATTTCTCATGTACCATAGTACATTTGCACTCTTTTTGTTTTGTAGTGCCCAGTAGAATGTACTGTGAAGTAGACAAAACCGGGCTATTGCTTGAAGCTTTTATAATATTAATACAGCTGTAGGCCTATAACATTTTTTATGACAAATAAAAAATGTTTATTGGTCTTAATAAAATGAATTCGCTGTTATTTCATTTTACTTAAAGTGAGACATTTAATACCTTTTTTAGCGAATTTATTTTTTTAAAGGTCGTCAGAGGAAGGTGGAAACATGGGGCATCTAGGTAGAGGAAAAATAAAAATAAAATTTTATTGATGAATGTCAACTGTGTACAGTAGTAATGAGGTTGATAAATGCTTTAAAATTTATATAATTAGGGAAGAAATATATATCTTATTTTTGGAGATTTCATGTGGAGTGTGCGCCAACTGGCCAAAAATAAAATTTATTTTATTCAAAAAAACACCATTATTGTCAGTTGGAGGGTTCGCTTAACAGGGTACAGTATACTGTAGCTTCAAAAAGATGAAGATATTTCTTTCTGTTTTAACCTGAAAGTAAATCACAGACTTGTGTTTTGGTTGAGATAAACTGAAATTCTGTACATGAGTAATGTTTACATGGTAGATCAGTGAAGCGTATTAACCATTTAATTAGTACATCCAATTACAGGCTACCATACATCATGGACAACTGAGATAAGATACTTTGTATAGTAAAATGTTTAATATTACATAACCCTTTACAAATATGTCTAACAAATTTTTAAAAAGAAATAAATACTTGCCAATACCCTTAATGGTAGCTAGAGTAGGGCACAGTTAATATAAACATTTTCACATGACTTTATTTTATTTTTTTTAAATATTTTTTTTAGGTTTTTATTTTTAATTTAGAATTTTGGGGTTTTTTCAGTCCTTATGGTGTTATTTTTGTTTTTTATTTAGAAAAAATTGAATTCACACCAATCAAGGCCCGAAAGCCACTTCTAGGAGGGGCTACATTTTTATATTAATGTATATTTATTTATATGCCATGCGATGATTGCACCTACTGTAAGACCGCAAAACAGTTTGGGCCACTTCACAGCCGTCATCAATGCAAGTAAAATCACTTTACGTGAATTCATAATCTGAATACAAAAATATAATTTTGTCATTTTGTCAGGAATATTATTGTAAGTAGAAATTACAGTGATACTTAATTATTGTCATTTACTACAATAAAATAATAATAATTTTGTTTATGCCATATGTAAGCAGGGGCGTACGGTGAAAAATCTAAGGGGGGTCAAAACGAAAGCGCAGGGGGCAAGCTGAACTCGGAGCAATTTAGCGAAGCTTTCAGAATTCGCGGGGTGCGTTATTTGTGAGTGAAGCGAGCATATTTAAAGGGCACTTTCTTTAAAAGGGGGGAGGGTCGACCGCACCCATCGACCCCCCCATGGTACGCCCCTGGTAAGAGTATGGTTTTGAGATTAAAACCACTGGTTGATTGTCTTGACGCTTTGGCGAGATT